AAAAGCAAAACGATGGTCAAGGCTGCAACTTTGGGCGTAGCTAAATGCAGTTATGTTGGGCTTGTTGGACTGATTGAAAATTCTTTCTTTCAACAGGGGAGAATTGATGGGCCTTGTTCCTAATGTTCTTGATCAGTTTACTCGCGTCGATTGGGAAACTTCCAAAGGGTCGGTGGGTGAAGACACATACTCATCAACTTCATACCTTCCTTTACTTTTTAACCAAAGGGACTTCAGTGTTCTCAAAAGCTGGCTGGAGCAATACAAATAGAATATTATAAAGCAAAGTTTCAGGTGAAACATGACGTTTACATGATAACCACACCAAGGGTGCGAGAAGAAGCTCGACGCCACTTCAATTGTTCTACCTTGGAGGGAGCTGAAGTGGAAAATCAGGGCATGCCCGGAACGCTTGGCATACACTGGGAGAAACGTGTCTTTGAGGTGAGAGTTCGCTTCCTTTCAGAAGCACTTTGAATAGTTACGCCTTTAAAAGCTTGAAAAATGAAGAAACTATGGGAATAAAGCCCGAAAAAACCAGGAACCTTGGGAACCGAAATCACGACTAGAGGGGAAAACTAATCTTCTACGTACCACAACTTCACAGTTGCTCTGATGAGCCGATTTTGTTCCCTGTTGTTGGTAACTGGTATTACGAGGATTAATACTGCTTATCGGACTCACAAGAATGAGGCATAGTTTCTATGTTCGATGAATTCGCCAGTCAAGTTAAGTTCTGATTAATGCACCTTGGAATCAGTACCTATTCCAGGGATGCTCTACTGCATGTGCACAATGGGTCTGAATAGGAAGAGAGTTTGTGATAACGATTGAGAGACGTTCTGGTTGAGATAGATTGGTGGAATCTTTTTGTCTCCTGCTTGAGAAGTCGCTCCTTTAAGCTGGTGAAAAGGTCATCGGATGAAGGATACATTCACAGCATTGCCACGATGGAAAACAAAGGACACGGTTGTTCCTTGGTCGCTAGTGAACCGCCAGCGACAATAAAGATGATGAAGATGAAGATGATGAGACGGAGCTGCTCATGCATGCAGCATCGAGATCTTTAATAGTGCAGAATTGAAGGATTGATGCACTACATACCTTTTCTTATGGGAACATACTCTTCTGTGAGAGGGGATTGAGAAAAGCTATCCTTTCATGTAGTCGGGAGATATCGGCATTGAAGGCACCACCCTGTCAATTACGATACATCTTCCATCCCACTCTTACCCTCAAACCACATGTGAGCCCTCTTGAGTTTTTTTTTTTGCATTCATATCAACAGACTTTAACAACGTCAAAAAAATGGAGGCAGCAAAGGTGTCCACAGAATTGAAGCCCTTAAACCATAAGGCCTCTACCCTTTTCTCTTTATTTTATTCTCCAGGTTTGTTGTAGAAGAGCTAGGCGG